CAAAGTCACACTCTAAGGTACTAGGGATTAAGACTCCAACATATCTTTTTTGGGGGGCATAACTCAACCCATAATAGTTATACTCAGTTATACTCAGTATGTATGAGTATACATACATATACTCATTATGTAATTCGATTACATATTACACATTAATTCAGAGACGGTGGACCCGTCTCTTCTATAAAAAGAGACGGTGCTTTTTATAAATAAAAATTGTAGAGTAATTAGAATGGAAATGATAGGAGAATTCATGGAAGTGTGTAAGATGATCTAGGACGAATACAAAGAGGCTGAAAACAGAAGCTAGAATAAGTAACTATTTGAGGGACCAATGAGGTCAAGAAAGTCTCTTCATTAAGTCATTCTGGTGACTCTTTGATCAGTAGTGACCTAGTAGAATTTTTCTAAAAATATAACATGCCCTCATTCCCTGAGGCCTGCTCACCAAAAACTGGCCCCTGTCTTTTCAAGACCTTTTTTCTCCATGAAGCAAGTATGGAGCACTTGCTTAATTTGTCACTTGTTTAAGAGAAAGTCCAGAACATTCACACAGCTATCTGAAGATAGCTACCATGTGGGCAGGTGTCGAAGGAACTATGGGTAAAGCCAGTCCCTGCCTTCAAGGATCCCACAGTCTATTAGAGGAGCCAGACACTGAAAAGCTTACTTGACTTTCTCCCTCAAGTCTGCAGGAGAAAATTTAAAATATATCAATGCCCAGGTTCTACTCCTGACCTCTGGAATGAGGCCCAGCAGTATTAGTATATATTAACTATATATATATATTGGGAGCACAGGTGTGATGGTAAATTTCATATGTCAACTTGACTGGGCCTCAGGGTACCCAGATATTTGGTCAAACAATATTCTGGGTGTTTTTGTGAGGGTAGGTCTCATCCAGTCAACTGAAGTCCTGAATAGAACAAAAAGGCTCATGCCTCCATTAAGAGGGACTTTTTCCTGTCTGACTGCCTTCATGCTGAGACATCATTTTTTCTCCCTACCTTCGAACATGAACTGAAACAGTGGCTCTTACTGGGTCTCCAGTCTGGCTTCAAAATGGAACTATGCCATGGACTCTCCAGGGTCTTCAGCTTGCTAATTGCAGATTTGGGACTTGTCAGCCTCCATGATCGTGTAAGCCAGTTCCTAATTTTGTGTGTGTGTGTGTGTGTGTGTGTGTGTGTGTGTTATGATATTATACATACTTTGGTTCTGACTCTCTGGGAAATCTTAATATACTAGGTGATTCAAATATGCTACAAGAGTTAAGAACCACTGACCTATAAACCCCAGACAAGGAAATGATTAATTCTGCCTCAAGAGGAGACTTCATAAAACCCATTATATTTGAATTGGGCCACAAAGAGTGAGCAGTTTTCACTTTGCCAAGCAGATGGGGCCAGAGGAAAGAGTATTAGCGAGGGGAGCAAGGAGAGAAGGTGAGAAGACAGGAGGAGTAATTGGAGATGCAGCTGAAATAGAAGGTGGTTCTGACCTGCTGCAAATGTCATGGCTAAATAACACAGGGACCTATTCAAAAGTTTTACACAAGGGAGTGATGTGCCCTTAATGCATTATAGGAAGATAAATCTGAACACCGTGTGGAAAAACTGAAAGTGAGGGGGACCAAGTAGACATCCTCATAAAAGCCTGTGTGGCCTGAATGCTGTGTCCTCTCCATATTCATATGTTGAGTACCCAACCACCAATGTAGTATATTGGGAGGTGGCACTTCGGGAGCTGAATGTGTTTAGATGAGGCTAGAGCCCTGATGATGAGATTAGTGTCCTTAAAAGAAGAGGAAGAGACATCAGAGCTCTCTCTCTCCACACAGCAAGAAGACGACTACCTGGCAAGCCCGGAAGAAGGCCCTCACCAAGAACCAACTCTACTGTCACCATCTTAGACTTCCCAGCTTCTAGAAGTATGAGAAACCAATGTCTGGTATTTAAGTCTATGGTATTTTGTTACAGAAGCCCAAGCAAAAGATGATATGTTCCTAGACTAGAGAAAAACAAAGGTGTGTGTGTATGTATGTGTGTGTCTGTGTTGTTTGTTTTTATGTTTTAGAGCTAGAATCAATAGAATTTTGGTATTGGGCTTGGGAAGTGAGGAGTAGGCATCAAATAGAACTTCAAAGTGCCCAACTTAGGGTAGGAACTGAGAGAATGGTGGTATTAAGATTGGGAGCACAAAAGGAGTAGCAGATTTTGTGAAGAACATCATGAATTTCACCTAAATTTGAGGTGCCACAGGGCATTTGCATGGAGATGCTCGGTGAGCTGATAAAAATAAGTTTCCAGCCTTTAAAAAAGAGACAGTGCTTTTTATAAATAAAAATTGTAGAGTAATTAGAATGGAAATGATAGGAGAATTCATGGAAGTGTGTAAGATGATCTAGGACGAATACAAAGAGGCTTAAAACAGAAGCTAGAATAAGTAACTATTTGAGGGACCAATGAGGTCAAGAAAGTCTCTTCATTAAGTCATTCTGGTGACTCTTTGATCAGTAGTGACCTAGTAGAGTTTTTCTAAAAATATAACATGCCCTCATTCCCTGAGGCCTGCTCACCAAAAACTGGCCCCTGTCTTTTCAAGACCTTTTTTCTCCATGAAGCAAGTATGGAGCACTTGCTTAATTTGTCACTTGTTTAAGAGAAAGCCCAGAACATTCACACAGCCTGTACAGACAGCAGAGGATCATGGTTTCCTCACTAGTGTGGGCTCGATGACCTCTAAGGCTTTTTCTCTCTCCAAGGGTCTTAGAATCTGTGGAAGGATTGTGGGAACAAATGCCCTGCCTCACCTATCATCTCTCCTCCTGATATACACAAGTCCTGGAATTCATGTGCTTGTACTCCCCTCCCATTGAGCCTGGGTTAGGCCTATGATTTGCTTTAACAAAAGTGGCAGAAATGGTGCTGTGCCTGGTGCTAAGCCTTAAGAAGTCATGGAAACTTCTGCCTTCTTGGGAGCTGGGGTACTATTAAGATATCCATCTTTTCTGCTGGAGAGAACATCCAGAAAAGGTAAGGCCCTGAGCCTTCAAGACGAGAGAAAAAGGCTGGGAGAGAGAGAGAGACAGAGAGAGACCAAGCATGCCTGCATCCCAGCTGAGCCCATCCCATAGTTGATAGCCAGCTAAATGTGGTCACGTGAATGAGCATTGGCAAGGCCAGCAAAGAACCACCCTGTCAGGCTCAGCCCTACTTGCAGAATCATGAGCAAGGAAAATGGTTGTTGGTTTAGGCCATTAGGTTGTGGGATGGTTTATTTCATAGGAATAGAGAGCCCAAAAGCATGTGATTCTGCAGACCAGAGGTTGGCAAGCGTTGTATGATAGGCCAAGGGTCTGGCCCTTTTCCTTATAAAGCTGATAAAAGAGAATTGTTCATTCGTCTCTACCTATCACTGTACTAATCATGTGTTTTCATCCTGTATTTTTGGTGCTTTGATATCTCGGGGCCTCGCTGACCTGGAGAAACTGTCCCTCCCTAGGACAGCCAATTTCTAGAGAGGATAAAGAATTCTATATCTTTCATATGCAAACCAACCAGTCCAGAACTCATACCCCAGCTACCTCCTTTACCAGGTTCCTGAAATCTAGGCTGCCCTCCACCTGCCCTAATCACCAGTGCTGGGTACCAGACAAGTAGGGAGCCCACTGACATCATTCAAACTAGCCAATTCTAAGCCTACTTACCCTGCTTTGCTTTTCTTCACACAGAAGAAACCAAGTGAAGGCTCTTGCTCAGGTTTTCCCCTGATTCCTCTGCCTCTTGACTAACCCTTGTCCCTCCCTGTATCCTCCCTGCCCCCGTAGCATCAAAGGCCCCTCTTCTTGGGACCTGTGAGCCATCTTCTCAATGGCGGTCATCTCCTAAGCTGCTAACCTTTCTTTACCTAAAGAATAATAAAGCCTGTAAAATAAAACAATAGTCTGTGGACATAAATAGGTGGGCAAATCCTAAGACCTGTGTGACTCTAATAGATGATGAAGATGGATGAGGCAGAGGTGATTGAGAAGGACCATCTTGTAACACTGTGCCACTAAAAATAATAACTATTTTGCTGCCCGTTAATCTTAAGGATAACTCCAGAGGGCGGATTTTGGTGTCCCCATTACCCAGAAGTGAAAATTAAGCCTTAGATATTATGCCACTAGTAAGTAGCAGAACTAGGATCCCAATCAGTTTTGCTGGAATCCAAAACCAGAACTCGTCTCATAAGCTTCCCCAACAACCTCGGCCAGGCTCGCTGTAGTTTGCCAAGCCTTCCAATGTGCTATACGACACCTCAGTAGGTTTTCTGTGATGAATTTTTGAGCAAATGAGTTTTATCCTCTTTAATCACCTATTTCTGACTATAAAAGTGATAATTCTCATTGGCAATTTGAAATACCAAGAAGAAATTTAAAACCACTCTTATAAGCACTCAGATAACCATTGTTAACATTTAAGTCTATATCCTTGTAGTCTTTTTTCCATACCTATATCATTTATATTTTACAAAACTTAAATTAAACTCACTATCTCTTGTAACCTACTTTTTTAACCCAAAAATATGCTGTGAGCATTTTACCATGCCATTAAATATTCTCCCAGGATAGGAATTTTAATGGCCAAATTTCGCTTCTTAGTTTACAAATACTATAGCCATTTATTAATCCTCTATTGTTATCATGTGAATTATTCCTAATATTTTACAATTAAAAGTACTCTGATTCTGGGGATACCCAGAGGGAGGGATTAATAAATGAGTGTGGAATGAATGAATGAATTCTTCTATTGGGGGATTTTGAACAAGACATTCAGGCTTCAGCCAGGGAAAAGACACCCAACAGGAGGCTCATTTATTAAGCTTTAGACCCTCAACAGCTCTGTGAGATCAATAGTATCATCACCTGCACTTTATAGGGGAGGAGAGGGAGGCCAGGGTGGTGTGATCACCTCTCTCAGAATGCTTGGAGCCCCCCCCCCTTCTTTTCCTCATACCTAGATCCTCTAGGTCCAAAGACACTGCAGTGCAGCTGGAGCTCTGTACCCAGACTTTCCATCAAGTACTCTTGGGACAGGACGTTCAGCCCTAGGTCCTAGGATCAGGTCCCTGTGTATCCTCCTTCAGTCTATTCCAACAAAATAGCAGAAAAAAGAAAGTGCTCTGATTAATATCCTCCTATGTCCTTATACATAATTCTTTGTGACTATCTCTGATAGTATCCTAGGATAAATTCTTAGGTTTAGAATTGCTGAGTCCAAAAATATGCACGTTATTAAGACTTTTGATACTTGTTTGTCAAATTTCCCTCCAAAAATGTTGCACCAATTCCCACCTTACCCCAGAGTCCTTTGTTTCCAACATAAAATAACTCTCTGTTAGGGACTGCTCTGTGTGTGTGTGTTTGTGTGTGCACACATCTGTGACTCAACCACATACAGGGTTCCTTCCATGCTAAATACAACCAAAATTTTGTCTTCAATTTGTACCTATAGTTGGTAAGTAGTGAGATTCCCTAGACTTGAAATCTTTTTTTTTTTTTGAAATCTTTATTCCAAAAGAATGACACCATTTATCAAAGGGACTTGCCAACCTAATAATGGAGTGACTGTTGTTTTTCAGCCATGCAGCACTGTGACTCATGACTAACTATATTGCTTAAATAACAGGTTTCTGTGCCTCCCTCAAATATGTTCAGACTGTGAGGAACCTGTACAGTAAGTCACAGAAAGGCCAGCAAGCGGTATATACTACTTCAGGAAAGGAAGGGTGGCTGGAAAAGGTGGCGTGTTATCTGCTTCTAAAGAACTAGAGAGGGACACCTGGGTGGCTCAGCGGTTGAGCGTCTGCCTTCAGCTCAGGGTGTGATCCTGGAGTCCAGGTTGAGTCCCATATCGGGCTCCCCACATGGAGCCTGCTTCTCCTTCTGCCTAGGTTTCTGCCTCTCTCTGTGTCTCTCATGAATAAATAGATTAAATCTTTAAAAAGAAGAAGAAGAACAACAACAACTAGAGAAATGTGGAATCCCAGAATGCAAAGGAATAGCTACTTACCTGGTGTGATCCAAAGTGTCTCCACACAGATTCATGCTCCCTAACGTCATCCCCCCCATCTGCCAGCCTTGTGTTGTGTGCCCTACATTCTAAGTAGTAACACCTTTGGCTTCAAGCTGAAAGGTCCCTGTTAAGACAAAAATAAATGAGCTAGAAGGGCTCACACCCTAAACCATTAGCAGCATTAACAACTTAGCTCAAATGAGCTTATCGAGTAGCTGGAGTCACCTAGAAAAGCCCCAAGGAAATGAGACCAGGGTGTGTGATATTACACGGATATGACAACGTCAGGGCGGAGTGGGTAGCAAAGAAGTGTCCTGGGTGATCTGGGGACGGAAGGATGGTTCCAGGGGCCAAAGGGACAACATGGGGGTGTTTCTGAGGGCATAGAGGGAAGAGGCCTCAAGGGACAGGTCTAACAGTGTTCGGGCAATTTATCAGGATTGTTGCACTGACACCTGAGAGACCCATTCCCTGCTGGTCTCTTGAACACGTTGGTTCAGAGCAAAGAACACGTCATTCCTATTCCTGCCACCAGTCGAACTTTGAGCAAACAAATTACTGGTTGCACCTCTTTCCTCCTCCTCCTCCCCCAGGTATACACATGGCAGGCATCTAAGGCAGGGCCTGCACACACCCGGTCACATCCATTAACAAGGCGCTGGTTATATCAATGGCAACCCTGAGGAGATTCCTCTGTGCTGAAGCAAAGCAGTAAATATAATAGCCTCTTAACTGGCACATTGTTATCAGTATTATTATGGCTTTCTCTTCATGCCTGTCACTGGATTACGGTAATTTTTTTTTAGTCGTGGGTTTTAATCAGAGTCGAAGTCTCGAGTTACTGACAGCTTGGGAGAGCTGTAGCTGCTCTAAGATTGACTTCACACTGTCACAAAATCATAACACAGGCAGAAAGCTAGTGGCTCTCACAGGCCTCCTCCCGCCAATTAAAAACAAAGCAACTTTCTAAACAGCAGGCTCCTTTGCCAGGCTTCACACGAAAGGGAGGGGAGCAGAGGGCACCTACTTCTCCCTCCTTCCCCCAGAGTTCAAAGCAAGAAACAATGATCCTGGCAAAGGCAGTACTAGAAGCAGTTAGTGTAATTTAGCTAATGGTGCCTACAGGAAGCTGGAAATCATTCCTTTGACATGTTGTAGTACTTCAACGGCATTGGGCCTTGTTGGGTTCTCCTGACCTTGCGGTGCCTCCTCACAGGCATTGTCCATCTGTGACCACTCAGTCGAATAAACCTGATAGACGTGGGCCAACGGGTCATGTTAGCTGACCTCTCTGGAGGTTATGGAACAGAGCAACACCTCTGGCTTTGCCTTCCCATCGTCCTGTGTAATCAAAGTTCTCTCCTCGGGGCACCTGGGTGGCTCTGTGTTTGAGTTTCTGCCTCTGGCTCAGGTCGTGATCCCGGGGTCCTGGGATCGAGTCCTGCATCAGGCTCCCTGTGAGGAGCCTGCTTGTCTCTCATGAATAAATAAATTTTAAAATCGTAAAAAAAAAAAAAAAGTTCCCTCCTGAACAAATGGGTCCCCAGCTCCAAGACAGCTGGCAATGGGGCTGGTGTTAGGCAGAGATCACTAAATATTTTTCTATCACCCTGGAGAAGCCATAGCAGACCATACCAACCTGAGACAAACCATTTTGACTTCAGGGTCCTTCTACTTCCTCCATTTGCAACACTGTTCTTCTTTCTAGAACCATCATCCTTAGAAACCCCATGGCCAGCATAGGCCATTCTGGCACCTAACTTAGATTTGTCCTTTATGTCCATCCACACCTTCATTTGCCTATGGTCCTGTGGTCAAGTAACTCTCACAGAGAAATGGCCTGAATAAATCCAGCAGGATATACTAAGTTATGCTGTAGTGATTAACAAAAATCTCAGTGCCCAAAACAAGGGTTTCTCATTCATGTTGTATGGCAATCACAGATTGCCAAGAGGCTCTGCCCCCAGAGTCACTCTGTAAACCAGGCCATCATCAGTAACCCGGGCTATCACCTTAGAAGTTGCAATCATCATCCCAAAGGGAAAGAAGGCTCTAGAGTCTTTTCCTGGCAGTTGAAGGCACCATCTCAGAAACAACAAATATTACTTCCACTCTCAAGTCATTAGCCAGTATCGGGGACGTTGCTCCATCCAATCAGAAAGAGGCCAAGAACTACAATCCTCTTTTGTGCATTGGAGGAACAGAAATATTTGGTGACTTGCATAAATAATTAACACACCAGTTAATTAATTTGCATCAAGAAGAAGAATGAAGAATCCCAGAGTTAAGAGTTACCCCTCCCAGTGGTATCCCCTAGCACAATGAAGCTTATTATGTTCTGTTCTCTGGTGCTGGGCAGAGACGAGCAGATATGGGAAAAAAAGGGGGAACTTCTCCCCAGTTCAGATCCTGTGTTTGCTTTGTTCACTCACAGTTCTCCAAGTGGCTTGCCACTGTGAATCCGAAATCACGCAAATGCATGCTGCAGATGAAAAAGATGCAGTGCGAATGTTTACTAAAGAGCATGCTAAATGATTTAAAGATTGAAACAGTGGGTGAGGGCATTGGAAGGAGGAGGGAAATCTGAAAGGGACCATGGGATGACAAAGACAGCCTGGACGAGGATCAGTTTTGCTGCTGGCTGCCAGCTCTCTGAAAGCAAGAAAACAAAAAAAGCCAATATGACAATTATAACATCAGTCTACCATGAAGCAATTAGGGCTTGGAGCAGAGTTTGAAGGAAGGAGACATCTGGTCTCAGAATCTGGGACTCTGGTGGAGAAATACCAGACACAACAAAATGATGGTGCAGGGAAGATGGAGACTTTTGTTCTCAAATCCAAGAGAACTCCTGAAGCTTTAGCAAGAACTTTTTGCAGTGGCCGCAAGAAGCTGAGTTCCAGAAAATGGAAGGGCAGCAAAACTGTGTTCTTGTGCCCTAACACATGCTATCTATGTGCCCAGGGCGAAAACCAGCAGAGAAGCAACCCCCAAGTATGGCCAGTGGGGTAGTGTTGAGACTTGTCATCAGAGGAAAAGCAGGAGGAAGAAAAAGGGAGGAATCTCAAAGATCTCTGTGTACCTTGGCGCCAATTCCAGGGAAATAGGCCTGTGGGCTGATACCACCTCCAGTCTGTCAGCAAATTCTGTTGGCCTTATTTGCAAGATATAATGTAAAGTGGACCACATCTTCCTGCCTCTACCAGCTACCTTCCTCCAAACACTAATCTCCTGCCTGGCTTCCTGCAGTAGCCTCCCGACTGGTCTCCTATTTAAATCCTTGCCTCCCAATTGTCTATTTTCTGTGGAGAAGCCAGAATGAACCTCCTGAAATGTAACCTGGCACCCCTTCCTCCTCACTAGGTTTCCGTCACACTAGCATCGTTGCTCCCTCTGCCAATACTTTATCTCAGGGCATTTGCACAGGCTGTCCTCTCTGCCCAGAAGGCTCTTTGCTCGGACATCTGCATCAGGCCTTGCTTTCATTGTCCCTTCAGATCACTTCTCAAATGCCACAGCATTAGCAAGGTCTTTCTTATCCATTCTATTTCAAAGAACAGCCCCTGCCTCCAGCCCTGAAGGCCCTATCCCCTCCTCAGCTATGTTTCCTTAACCAACTTTGTGTGAAATGTGTTGTCACGTGTACATATTTTATGTTCTACTTGTTTGGTTGTAGCAGAAGTAAGCTCCAAGAGGGCAGGAGGGTTTCTTGGTTGATTTGTTCACCGCTGTAACCCCAGCATCCAGAACAGGACTTGCCAATAGTATGACCTCAATACCTATGTGTTAACTGAATACATTGCAATTGACCCCAACCTTACCACAACACAGACGTAACATCAAAGAGATATTCAAGGGACAAGGCTTTTCTTTTTCTTGAAATACTCTGTGAGGATTCAGGGTCTGCCTCCTCCTCCTACCTGATATCAGCTGCCATGGATACAGGTTTCTTAAAGGGGTCAAGGATGCGACAGATGCTTTACATTAGCTTTTATGTCCTCCATAAAATTAACAACAAGCAAACCTTGAGTAACAGAGCTATAATTCTGTCTTGCAATTCTGATCCCACACAGAGTGTAAGAGCTTGGCTCTTGAGGCTAAAAGCTGTTTCCAGAACCCTCAATGGAATTATACCTCTGCAATTCATTTACTGTTATTCATTTTATATATGTTTATAGATAGAGCCAAAAAAAATCACACAGCCAGCAAAACCAAGGCAAAGAAGAAAAGATAACCTAGTGGTTTTCATTTTTAAATTGCAATCATTATGTAAGATACAGTATTTTGTCACACTGTAGCACTTCCAGGCTAAGCAAGAAATATACTTAACAGGTAAACATAATAAGATAGCTTTTAAAAAGAATGAATATTACCTTGCTCTGTCTTCAGGGATGTTATTTTCAGTAGCAATATCAATTCACAAAGAAAAGTCAAGAGAATAATTACGGCTTTTTAGCCAATAGGACTGATCTACGTAAACAAGATCCCTGAAAGTGTTGGATAATATCCTTGAAAGGCCTCTAAAGTTATTGTCCCACTCCAGCTATTTGCCATAGTGACCAAAAACAACCCAACAAGCCTCCGTCATTTATGTCCAAGTTTCTAATGAAACAAGCCTCATGAAAAATAAACTAGCATACAGATGGGCTTGGAGAGAACTGGCAGCGTATCTACCTTTTATATTTATTTTATTTTATTTTAAAACCATTTCGGGTAATCAAAGTGGTTCGTTAGCAAGGAACATTGTGGGAGAAATGGCATTTTCCATTTTCCATGCGCCAGACACAACCGAGATAAAGACAAGACTTAGACACTCCCTCTGGCCGATGAACTACAACTTCATTTACGAAGGAACTACAGGCCGTAGCAGAATCTTAGTGCTGATTTCTATCCACAGGACATTTGGCCACCGCTTACAACCCATTTCATATATAGGCTGCTGAACAGCCTCCAGATGGTGTGTATAAGATTTTACAAATGTTTTTCTTGTTCCAATCAGACATGACCTTTCAAATATATAAAGCTGTACACACGAAAACTGCCACAAGACTTCTAGAAAAATTGAGCAAATTCAATTCACAAATGTTTCTGAGCACCTACTATGCGGGAAACATCATTCTAGGTACTGAAGGATACAGTTGTGAACCAAATAGATTTTAAACCCCCGACTTAGTGAAGCTTCTATTCTCGTGGAGGTGTGGTACACTGACAGCGAGCAATATAAATAAATTAGACATTTTTAAGGTGATGACTATTATGTGCTATAGGGAAAAATCAAGTGGGGAAAGCCCTGAGAAAGGGCTGGGTGCAATTCTAAGTAGAATTAGAATAGGCTTCACCCAGAAGGAGACATTTAAGCAAAGACTTGGATGCCAATATCCAGGAGAACACCCTTCTGAGCAGAGAAAGCTGCAAGTGCAAAGATCCCGAGGTGGAAAATTGCCTGGCATGTGACAGGAGCAGAGTGAGCAAGAGGAGAGCAGTGGATGAGGTTGGGGAGGTAGTGGGGGCCGCATTCCATAATGACTCTGGCTTTTCTCCCACTGAGGACAACCAGGGAGCAGGGAGCAATAGGACCAAAGCTTTCAGAGCATCACACTGGCTGCTTTGTCCAGAATAGCTGTTGGGTTGGAGAGTGGGGAGGTGGATAGGAGATGAGGCCAGAAGTGGAAGAAGGGGGCCATTTAGAAGGCCATGGCAATGCTGTCGGTAGGAGAAGAGGGCTACCACCCTTGGACCAAGAGGGTAGCCCCATGGATGATACAATGTGCTTAGATTCTGGATATACTTTGAAGACACATAAGATAGAGAGACAACCCCCAAAGATTAGGATTAGGACACCCCCAAAGATTCATATGGCCACTTTAATTATATACCTCTCCCAACTACTCGGTTGGTTAAGCAGTGTTATTTCCAACAACAATCACCCACCAAAAACTCACTGGCATTAATGACAATTTTGGAGGATTAGCTCAGAAATGTGGATTCTTTAGGAGATCCAGAACTGTGTTAGAATTAAGGGTTTTCTGAGTCAACAGAGGTGTTACATCTCGGCTGCTCCATCTGTACAATGTAGTGTGTGGGGTTCATTCTGTATCTCTAGCTCTAGTCACTTGTTCTCTCCTTGTGCTGGGAGCTGGGAGCAATAATCATAGGCTACTATTTCCATGCTCAACAATTCCCAGTCTAGCTGGGGAGGTGTGTGGAGCTACATCTTCTTTCCTTCCTCTGCTCTTCCTCCTTTCAGTGTCTCTCCACCCTCTCTGCCCCTGCCCATAAGGCACCAAACACCAAAGAGAGGCTGACTCACACTCCTGACAATAGTGAACACCGTGGAGACTCCCCTTGTTTCTGTGCTCTTGTCTGCTGCCTGACGCCTGCTTACGCACAGCTTCCCCCTCGGAAGTGGCAAGGTCCTGTCTCTGACATTCTTCTATCTTCTTGTTGTTGTTGTTGGTTCCAAGTAAAGGTAAAGCCCAAAACCAAATAGGAGCCAGCTCTATAAACTCCAGAATCAACCTAAGATTATTGACAGTGGGGCCTTCCATGGTGCCTGTAACTCAGATGCTCGGAGATCTGCTCCCACCAGGTTAAAGGGAGAGTACAGCAGTCCTTTCTGAACAGCTGTGCTCCATCTTCCAAGTGCCCTGGACCTTTGAATAAATGAGCTCTCCCAGGGCTAGAGACCGACAGAGGATCATTATTGTTTTGGTTCCCGATGCCTTTGAAAATATAGCTAATGTTTTGTACTGGAGATGATGTGGACCTAGGAAACCAGAATTTTACTGTCTATTTAATTTGTAAACCGTGTCTTTTAAGCATATGCTGTGGCAGATGGTCGGTGATACCACGGTGTGTTTAGTTAGATGGGATCCTTGCTAAAGTTCACCTGCCCCATCTGCATACTCTGGAGGCCAGAACATTCTAGTAGCTGTGCTAAGAAATCCATCAAAACCAAGAAGTCTTTTTTTTTTATAGTAAGTAATAGTCATGGATCTGCACTAATGAAAATGCAGGGCTTCTCTACCCAGAGTGGAAAAAACCAAGCTGAACCCAGTATCAGCGATTTTCCAGCAAGGCTGTCACTGTGATCTGTGATGCGCTATCAAGATGAAATTGGAACCAAGTGTACTTTATTCAGGACATCTGCAAGATAAAAAATATAATGCTCCTTTTCTATCTTTGTGACATTGTTCGCAAAGATGTGATTTGGCTGTTAAAACCACTTGCGCTGTATCTCAAGGCTAAGGCTGACAATTCAAATAAAAGCCTCTCTCTCTCTTTGGTTTGTTATCTGAACCACAGTTAGCTGTCATGGCAATTCTATATACTGGGGCACTTGGGGAGGGGGGGGTGAGGCGTTTGACTGACCTGCTATAGCTTCCCATCTGACTCTGTTTCTGAGCTCCATTTAATTTCCTGGAGTTCTAGAAAGTTGTTTGTTTTGTTTTGTTTTTCCATATTAATGCCCTCAAACCAGGTGCAGTGTTAAAAGACAAACAATGGTGTTTAATTTTTAATAATTTTATTGTATGCACTTTGAAGAAAATTTAAAATATACGTATGAGCACTAAAAAGAAAATAAGATGCCACCATTTTAGATGAGTCCTATGACTGTTTTCAATGCATCTCCTCCCGGTGTTTTTTTCTATGCCTTCATATGTGTTTGGGAGGGGGTGTGTTGATTTGTTTTTGTTTAAAAAAAAAAAAAAGGAAGGGGTGGGGCACCTGGGTGGCTCAGTTGGTTAAGTGGCTAAGCATCTGCTTTTGGCTCAGGTAGTGATCCCAGGGTCCTGGGATCAAGTCCTGGGTCAGGCTCCCTGCTCTGCGAGGAGTGTCCTTCTCCTTCTCCCTTTGCTCCTTCCCTCCACTCACACTCCCTCCCCCTCCCTCTGTGTGTTAAATAAATAAAATATTTTTTTAAAAAAAGAAGGGGAGAACTAAAGGAACAATTCTGTGAGCTCCTCATTAACAACTTTGGACAAACATTTTTCCAACAACTTTTCATTCCTCACAGATGTAGGCACACTGTTTTTTCCTATCATCATTAATCTGCAAGGAACACCATTCGGATAACTGTCTCTCTAAATTGTCATAAATCACTTCAGAGTTTTCATCAAAAGAAACATTAAAATGTCTCTCAGTTCTACAGAGATATAACGTTGCAAACAGAAGCTCATCTAAAACACTCATATTTACTGGCCTTCTGCCTCTAGCTTGAGCAAGCACTATATTCTTATTTGCTTAACCTCAAGCCTGCTCAGAACCTCAAATCTACCTGATTTGTGGGGCCATCCTGGCCTGCAAAGGGTTCCCCCAAGATGTTCTACTTACTACTCCTTCTCCCTCTAGGGTGCCTCTGGCTTCCTGCAGAATAAGTCATTCTTACAACCAAATCCAAAGGGACTCATTCTCTATAAGAAGGCCACTTTCAGATAAATATATGTGTACATTTTCACTGGAGACACTAGGTCATCAAACTGGTATTGAAAGTCCATTAAAGGACTATGGGGGAAGAGAGATGCACAGTTTAAATTCAAGAAAAGGAACACTAAAAGTCACCCATTGGAATCTACAGTTGGCTGACAGCTACTCATGCAGCCCCAATATTTGGTATTCATTAGTTTGTGGCATTGTCCTTTCCTATGACACACTCCTATTAGGGAATCCTCAGGGAAAACTGTAGTGGTTGAGGAGAAGGAGTGTGGCCTCTTTAAAAGAAATTTAGCTTTTGGAACAAGAAAATGGCGTGCAGTGCACTTACTTGTCTTTTGTCCTCTGAACTGACCTTGCATCAAGTTCAAGCCAACCAGAGTTGGGCCAGAATTTCCATCTGGAAGGCAGAGAGGTTAGGATTAGCCAGGGGTTGCCACATCAGCAGCAGGTGCAGGAGAGCCAATGTTCACATGGAAACTTTAGGCAGATGGGTGCTTGCTTATTTTCTTTTTTATTTGATGTAGACCATTTTCAATCATATACAAACTTTCTAAACTTTTTGACAGGTGAAAGTGGAGGGATTGAAGGCACAATCATTGCTTGTTTCTTGAGAGTTAGAAATCATTGTGTACTGTGGAGCAGATCTGAAATCTCATCCTCATCAGCAGGGGGTGAATAAAGTCTGTTGTGTGCAACTGTTATTAAATTCCCCTTTCCTGAGTGGTGGAGGTGAGGAAAAGGGAGGGATAGTCAAAGTTCATTGGTACATTCAAAAAAAGTCTGGCTAAGATGTGGCTTGATGGTTGCTCCTAGAAGAAGCTGCATACATGTTCAAGTCTGTAATAGTTTTCTCATTTCAGGACAAGCATGAGCCTGAAGTGTTTTGTTTTGTTTTGTTTTAAGATTTTTATTTATTTATTCATGAGGGACAGAGAGAGAGAGGCAGACACACAGGCAGAGAAAGAAGCAGGCTCCCTGAGGGGAGCCAGATGCAGACCTCAATCCCAGGACCCTGGGATCATGGACCTGAGCTGAAGGCAGATGCTCAACCATTGCACCACCCAGGCGTGCCCTGAAGTGGTTTTTCCACCTCCACTGCCAATTATTTCCCCCATTCCTATTACCATTTTAAGCTATTTATAAATAACAAGGAAATAATTGACACTAGATGAATTCACTAGATGAATTCCAGATTTCTAAGCAATAGGTTAATCTTTCACATTAGGGCACACAACCTAAAGTAGACTCATTGATTGTATAGTAAAAGTTCACAGCACTAGTGGCAATCTCTTATCCAATTGATTTCACTTTGCTATGCTAGTTTTCATGGTGAAATTAGTTGAAGATCCAAGTAAAAACCATCAATATGAGTCAAAAAGGAAAAAAGCTAGAAAGCAGAGTTTTCAACTATAAAAATATTAGGTTCAAGACATGGCACAAAATGAGAGAAAATAAAGCACAATTTCATTTTTTGTAGAACAGGTTGGGGTCAGGGGCACTTCCATTAAAAATAATATTCAAGGGATCCCTGAGTGGCGCAGCGGTTTGGCGCCTGCCTTTGGCCCAGGGCGCGATCCTGGAGACCCGGGATCGAATCCCACGTCGGGCTCCCGGTGCATGGAGCCTGCTTCTCCCTCTGCCTGTGCCTCTCTCTCTCTCTCTCAGTCTGTGACTATTATAAATAAATAAAAATTTAATTTTTTTTAAAAAAATAATAATAATATTCAATAAATATGGAAATCAGCTATTCTCAGGAAATGTTGGGAGACTTAGGAAGAAACTTGCAGGTGTTAACATTTTTACTGGGTAACAAATGCTGACCACCAAGGAAATGCATCAACAAATGCCTAACCTAGGAAAGAAGGAAAAGAAGAGAAAGACTCAATCAGAGCAGTTCTTAGAAACTGAGGAAGGGAGTGGTGGCTGGGGAACTTGAATAGACAAGGAAATTGCAGAGTGATCATACCCAGCTGGTGGTGTGAGAGGAAAAAGTAGAGGAGGACAGGAAAACTATATGAAATGGACAAGCTCACAAAACAGAAATCCCAATGAATGCATGGAATCGAGGGTGTTTAAAGGACAATTCATTGAAGGGAATTGCCTGAGACACTAATGCAGGTGCCTCCGCCATCACCTTGAGTGGAAGGCAGATTTTACACTATGGATTGAAACAGTCATTTTCATTTCGTAAAGCCTACATCTCTGGAAAATTAGGTTCCATAAATTGAGATTTTTGTTACATTAAGCTTTACTATGAACTTTCCAGTAGTTTTAGAGGTGTAATTTATTTGAACCATTTGGAAGTATAGAACAGGCTTGTAAGATAAAATGAGTCAAAAGTTAAAAAATTAATTGAATAAATCTATTGGATAAGTAGTCGAATAAAACTGATTTTTCAGGAAAAATAAATTGCATATCAATTAATAAATTTGAAATGAAATAGTCAACTTTCAATTATCAATGCTCATTGAGAAAAGGCAGAAATGAGAAACAAGATCCACAGAGAACTCTGAAATTTCATTTCCATTTCAATCTTTTCCCCCATATCCATTCCAATTTTTCTATTGAACTAATTTGGGTTTTTAAAAGCCTCTCTGTTTCCTTTCTAGTCATTAAAGAAATCTTTATTAATGGCCTACCTTACGCCAGGCCTTCAACAGGGCATGTAGGAGAAAGAGGCCAGGGCCAAGAGGCTGACCAGGACCCTAGTAATAACAGAGTTGATTTCAATTATTTCCTGTCATCATTTCAGCAAAATGCATAGCACAAATTAAAATTGATTTTAAGGGGCACCTTGTAGGCTCAGTTGGTTGAGCGTCTCTTATTGGCTTGGGTCATGATCCCAGGATCCTGGGATTGAGCCTCGCATGGGGCTCCCTGCTCAGTGGGGAATCTGCTTCTCCCTCTCCTTCTGCCCCTTCTCACTCCTGTTCTCTCTCTCTCTCTCAAATAAATAAAAAATCTTAAAAATAAAATAAAAATAAAATAGATTTTTAAATGCCTTTAACAAATATAGATACCCCTATCACAATCTTCTCAACTAGAGTTTTCACTAGCTCTCGTTCTTAATTCTGATGGAACAAAAAATGGCCTCTGGGGAAAAGTGGAGATAGAATAGAAGCTAGGAAAAAGCAAAAGACAAGTATATAAAAAATTAAAGCACAAATAGAAAAGGAGAGTGTAATTCACTTACAAATAATAGTGAAGTTAATCCCAATTTTTCCTAGCAGATTTAAAGTTGCAAAACTGGATTTATAAATGTGAATGTCATGATTGACAAGCCAAAGACTTATGTGGAGAGGATGTAAGAGTGAGCAGAAATGGCATCTATTCTAACAAATAGCCAGGAAGAAAAGGTAGCTGGAAAAATCAGTGAGCAGGAGCATCTGATCCACATTCATTACAGAAATGACCAGTTAGGAAGTCTACGACACAAGGCCATTCAGGGGGAGCTCCTCCTACAAATCACTTTCTTACCTTCAAACATTTGAGGTGCACCTAATAAATACTTTTTGAGCCAGTAAACAAAAGAAGAAAATAATGAATGATGGAGCCACTGCTCCATACATCCTCTTGCACCTGCAGCTTTCTGCCAGGTACTTCCTTAACCTTGGCTCCTGTTGGGCTCCTTCTCACTTACCCATGAATAAGGATTCTTAGACTATATTTACCAAGACTGAACTTTCATGGGGTACACTGGCCAAATGATCTGGTCTATTAATTTTGAGGAATATGAATAAAGGCAGGCTGTAGAATTTCCAAAATAAGATTAATAGTCTTATTCGTAATTCTATCACTCATTGGCAAAATGGAAAAACAAGCATTATGTTGCCAATCACCACAGAGATAGCAGATATCTTTATAAAGATAAAGAGAAGTGCCCCCAACTTGAGACCTCATGCCTGACACCACACCTTTCTGCTGTAGTAAGACATATACTATGCATGTAATCTTGACATCAATACTCACTTAGGCAGCCATGATGACACTGCAGGTCTTGACACAGCTGCCCCCAGCTGTCTACAGAGGTAGCACAGGCTCATGCTAAAGTGAAGTCTGTAAAAAATAATAATAATAAAATAAAATAATAAATAAAGTGAAGTCTGTGATGCCAAGGGTTGAGAAAAGAAAATGGAGAACACCACAGCTAAAAAATGTCATTTGAACACAAGCCAATGCCAACACTTGGAATAGAAGTTGCACCTGGGTGCTCAGCCATTTAAGCATCTGACTTGATTTCAGCTCAGGTCATAATCTTGGGATCGTGAGATTGAACCCCTGCATTGGGCTCCATGCTCAATGCAGATTTTCTTGAAATTCTTCTCCTTCTCCCTGTGCCCTTTCCTCTGCACATGGACTAAATAAACAAATAAATAAAATAAAATAAAATAAAATAAAATAAAATAAAATAAAATAAAATAAAATAAAATCTTAAGGAAAAAAAGAAAAGAAGTAGCACAGAACCACCTAACTACAGAAATCCAAAAGGAATTCTTCCAGAATCCAGTGCTTGATCATACTATCCCAGGAACCAGGGCTTAAGTAATAATAGCAAACTCTTACATACTGACACTTATTCATATTTTGTCTTTTGCTTATTTTTAATTCCAATATAATTAATGTACAGTGTTATATTAGTTATAGGTATACAATAGTGATTCAACAATTCTATACATTATTCAGTGCTCATCGTGATAAATGTACTCTTCATCCCCTTTATCTGTTTCACCCGTCCTCCCATTCATCTCCCCTCTGGTACCCACCAGTTTGTTCTTCATATTTAAGAGTCTGATTTTTTGTTTGTCTCTTTTTTCTTTGTTCATTTGTTTTGTTTCTTAAGTTTCACATATAAGTGAAATCACATAGCATTTGTCTTTCTCTGACTATTTCACCTAGCATTATACCCTCTAGATCCATCCATGTTGTTGCAAATGGCAAGATTTCATTCCTTTTTATGGCTGATTAATATACATCGTGTATATATACAACACCTTCTTTATCCACTCATCAATCAATGGCCATTTAGGTTGTTTCCATATTTTGGCTATTGTAAACAATGCTGCCATAAACATAGGGGTGCACATATCTTCAGATTAGTAAATAGTTTCATATTCTTTGGGTAAATACCCAGTGGTGGAATTTTTGGATCATATGATGATTCTATTTTTAATTTTTTGAGAAACCTGCATGCTGTTTTCCACAGTAGCTGTACTACTTATACATTTTTTAAAGCCCTGTAGGTGAGTCTAACAAATAGCCAAGATTGAGAACCATTGCTATAGCATTACAAAAGCTTCTAATTCTTTCTCCTACCTCCTCCATGTTTCATCATGAAAATAACAAGTTCTTAAAACATTAAAAAAAAAATGTCACTAGGTAAGGGTATTTGAGAGTGTCATAAGACCTGCCCAAGACTAAATCCTTAGAGATACATTTATCAATCCCTAATAAATGGGGGAGTTTACAGAGTAAAATTAAAGTGGTTGACTGGCCAAGGCAGTTGGAAATGTGGCCCATGCCTTAGTGAAGAGAACAATATGATCTCTTTGTGGCCCTTCTCCTAAGTTTTTTACTCCTATAGGGGAGAAAAAAACCTTTTTCCTTTATCCATCTTATATTTGTTGGCTGGAGCCCTGTGAATTAGACTGAAAAAAGAAACAGATTAAGAAGAAAAAAATAAGCAGAAGTTTATTAATGTGTACTGCACATATACATGGGAGTACTCAGTGACAAGCAACTCAGTGGGGTGGTTAGAACTTGGGTTTATAACAATAAATTTTGTAGAGAAGTGACAAGACAAAGAAAAGGGCTTTAGGCTTCTAGGGATAGGTAGCAAACTTGGGAAGGTAAATATATGAAAAAACTAACAGAAGATAAAAGTTGTCCTGGCAAGGTTTGTTGTATAGATTCCTTCGGTGCCTGCCATGTCTGGATTTAGGATTTATAAGAGTCTAGAATTGTCTCCAGTGATTCAGAATTATCTTAACCTTCCTGGCAGAGAGGGAGAGGACAGAGAGGTTTTCTGTGTCTCTGCTTTTTTTTTTTTTTTTTTTTTTTTAATGCCTTCGGCTCAAAATAATCCTTATGCCAGAGTGGCGTATTCTGGGACGGCATACTCTGAACTCCTAAACCCCTCTCAAAGCTGTTTGATGGGCTGGAAAGCCCTCTGTGAACTCCCCACCAAGTTACTCTTGCTATATCACCACTCAGCTGATTTCTTCTTGGCACTTGTCACTGAGTAACTTGTAATTACTTAGTATATTAGAAGTGATATTTTGAAAATTATTTAATTAGCTTTTCCTGTTTGCTTTTGTACTAGCAGACCCAAGGTGTCCATCTGCCATGGGGGAGATTAGAATTATAGGGTGGTATTCACTTCTAACATGCAAAGTAGGATTATGCAGTAAAACAATAGCTTTACCAGCCAGGCATTTGTACTGAAAGGATTTTCCAAAGTCCTCTAATATCCACTTTATTAAGAGCCAGTTGGTCGTGGAGTTCTCCTTTTGTGGTGAGAAGCTATCCCTTTCACCCTTTGACAGGAAAGCTGGTGAGGCCTGTTGCTTCATAGGGGGAGGATATAAGGCAGGGAATAGAGAAAGAGAGAAAAGGAGAGCATCAACAGACCAGCTTTAAACCAGAGAGAGGTAGTTATTGTAGATAAATAAGGATAATAAGGGTAATACCAAGGACAAATATGAGCTCTTGCTGTCATCTTCTCTTTGGGATTCTGCGCAAGACGACTCAACACACCACTGAGCTCCTGTGAATTAACCCTGCAGTGTTATTTGGCCCAGAAGCATTTCGGTTAGTCCGTGCAGTCTTTCTGTGGATACATGTGCCGTTTCTGTCGGGTTTATTGAAATATTGAAAGTAGTTTTACAAAGTGAAGCCATAGTGTCTGTACCCACTCCTGTCAATATTTTGCAGGACAATGAATTCTAGACTCCCAAGCTGGAGTCAGGGGCCCATTTTTTTTTTCTTATCAAGTACCAACATTTCCCCAATTCCCAACCCAGAAACTATGAGTCTGTAAGTTTGCTGACTTATTAATCAGTCATTATTTATTGAGTGGTACAATGTTTCAGAAGCTAGGATAGATAGAGCTGACACAGAACTGTCTTCAAAGAGTTCACAATGAAGTAGGAAAAGGTGGTCATGTGAACAAAAATTATAATATTGTTATAAGTGGAATGTGTCCTCCAGAAAGATAAGGCTCAAGTCTTAACCACCCGTAGCTCAGAATGAAAGCTTATTTGGAGATAAGGTCTTTGCGGATGTAATCAGGTGAAGGGTAACAGAATATGCCACCCCCAAAATATGACTACAGGAGTTCAAGACATGCCCCTCCAAATTATGCCACTTTGGTATATGGATTATTTTGAACTTCAAGCAGTTAAAAAACAGCAGATGCAGGGAAAGGCTTTCTCTGAGTTCCCTTTATCTGCCTAAAGACAAATTCTCCAAAAGAAACTCTGATTGTCCCAAGTCCCCTCCCTGGGAATTGCATGAACCAGGGAAAATTGATTCTCATCACAGGAGAAGACACAAAAAGTGGACATCACACCTGGACAAACTTTGTCACAAACTCGTACCTTCCATCTATGCCTCTAAGGGCTCATTCATCTTTCCTATAAAAATCCCTTATGCTCCCTAAAAGGCCAACAACATCAGTCTTTTCTTTTTTCTATGAAGATGGTATTTAATCCTGCATTCTAAGCCACCTCATGGAGTTACTCATTTTTCTCTAGATATGTCCCATGTAGACATGAGGTCTTATGATAATAAACTTCTATTTGTCTTTCTCTATGACTCTTTTATTAAGGGACCTCAGAATGGTGAGGGAAATTATTTTTCCTTTTTCCTTTCCTGCACAAGTTAAGATGTGGTCATCCTGGAGTAAGGTGGGCCCCAATGCAATGGGACTGGTGTCCTTTTATAGAGAAGAGGCACAGAGGGACACCTGAGTGTCTCAGTGGTTGAGCTTCTGCCTTCAGCTCAGGGCGTGATCCCAGTCCAGGGATTGAGTCCCGTATCAGGCTCCCTGTGGGGATCCTGCTTCTCCCTCTGCCTGTGTCTCTGCCTCTCTCTCTGTGTCTCTCATGAATAAATAAATAAAATCTTTAAGGAGGAGGAGGAGAAGGAGAAGAAGGAGAAGGAGAAGGAGAAGGAGGAGAAGGAGAAGGAGAAGGAGAAGAGGAGGAGGAGGAGGAGGAGGAGGAGGAGGAGGAGGAGGAAGAAGAAGAAGAAGAAGAAGAAGAAGAAGAAGAAGAAGAAGAAGAAGACGACGACGACACACAAACACACACACAGGAGAGGACACCATGTGAAGAAGTAAACAGAGATTGGAGTTTTGCTGCCACAAGCCAAGGAAAACCAAGGATTGCTGGCAACCCCCAGAACCTAGGAGATAGAAATGGAACTGATTCTCTCTCAGAACCTCCAGTGGGAATCAACTCTGCCAACACCTTGATTTGGGACTTCCAGCCTCCAGAACTACACAGGGATAAGTTTCTGTGGTTTGAAACCACCCAGTCTGCAGTGATTTTTGACGTTAGCCCCGGGAAAGTATCACAAGTACCATGTGAGGAGGGCTTCAACAGGGCATTTACACAGTCTAGGGAAGCAGAGCTAACTCATGCAAAGAGTAGGATGTTCTGACTCACTGGAGTGGCATGGAGGTGGTTGGAAGTGGCAGTTGCATGGTTTCCAGCTCAGTCAGAACAATGCAGGAGACCTAGAAAAGAGACTCCTCCATATTCAGAAAGTGTTCCATAGCTCTGAAGAGAAACCAAGCATGTGGTAGACCAGAGTGGAATTCAGGTTTAAAGTATCTGGCAAGTTTTCCAATTATATGGGGAAAGGAAATGAGGAATCCACGACAAAGCTTGAAAACAGACCAGAACATGCCTAAGTACATGTGAGATCCTGTAGGGCCTTAGGTAAAGGAGCCCTAGGAAATGAGGCACCAGGGAAAAATGTAAATTCATAATGTGTAGATGCAGTACAGCCAGCCACTGGTGCTCTGTGGAAAAAGGGGGATGAAATGTTGCTCA